ATTGTATAAAGCACATCTATACATTTGTTGCCCTCATTATTCCCAAAATTCGCTTTCCTCTTGGGTTCCCGGAATCAGCTCATTTTCCTTTCCCCACCTCCCTTCCTCCTCCCCTCTCCCCCATGGGCAGATTTTCATAAAGTAGAAATGGCAAAGGTTTTCTGGGATGTTTGTGCTGGATTGTGGTTCTTTACTAGATGGTGTATTTATAATCATCGCAATTGCTGCTCAATAGAATGTACTTGTTTAAAGTGGTAACATTTATTAAATTCTTCCTAGGTACCAGGAGTTATGCCACATTCCTGATGGAATTATCTCATTGAACTGGCAGCAATCCTAGGAGTGGGTACTATCCACTCCACCCCACCCGCCCTTTTAGAGATAAGGAAATCAAAGTTTAGCATAGGTTTAAAAAAAAATCTGAAATTCCATCCTTAACAGAGTGACCTCATGTACTTACTCCTTATGTCTAAGACTTGCTTCCAACTTTGATGTGTCGTGGGAGAACGATGGGGCTGTCAACTCCCATGAAGAGTTACAGTCTCCGTAACTCACAGGGTGGTTCTGCCCTGCCCGGTAGGGTCCCTACGAGTTGTCATCGACTCCATGGCAGTGAGTTTGGTTTTGGTTTTTGGGTGTCCCTCGAATTCCTCCATTCAGGCGGTAGTCAATGGTGATAAATCTCACCATCTAGTTTCATGATTTATAGCTCTTTGGTCTTTCAGTTAACAACCATTTGACACTAGAACTAGAGCTAGTCAAAGACATGGACGGCACCAATATTTTTTTGGCACATTCTGCTCTTCACTGAATGACAGTTTCTTGTCCACAAGTGCCCGGTGCACATCTGTGGCGTCAGTACAGCTGCTGAGGGAAGCCACACCCACAGAGGCCATGGGACTGTGCGGGGCTTCTCTAGAGGTCTGGGAAAGCAGCCTTTACCTCTAAAAACAGAAAGGATCATAGGTTTTGTTGAACAAATTGCTTGATAAGTAGAATTCTCTTTAGTAAGCTCTTGGCAGTACGCTTAAAAGAAGGCGTTAAGCTAAAGGCAATCTGTAAGTACACTGGACCCAGCGTTAACCAAGAGCACTTTGTGAACTCCTTCTCCTTCCACCCCCCCCCATTCTCAGCGAGCTCTCCCTCTGCCCCCAGGAGCTGCCTTATGAGCGTGGAGCCCGCCATCAGCACCAAGTACCTCCCTTACCAGAGCTTCCAGCTCTTTGGCTTCGACTTCATGGTGGATGAGGACCTGAAGGTGTGGCTCATTGAGGTCAACGGCGCCCCTGCTTGTGCTCAGTAAGCTTCACACCGTGATGGTTGAACCGCAGGGAAGGCGGTTAGGCTGGTCTTGGGAAGGTAGTGAGTGGTCAAGGGCAGACCCTCTCGCCATGGTCAGGGAGGATGTCCCAGGATTAGCCATTCCCTGGGAGGCCTTGGGCTGGCCCAGGGCTTTGCGGGAACTCTTCCTTTCCCACTGCCTCCCTGGGTGTTGATCAGGTGGGAAGCAGACGCAGTGAAAGTTTCCAGTAACTTACTGTCAGAGGAGACCCATTCTTGTGACAAGCTGAGCCTCCTCTGTCCACCTCTTGGTCCAGTCACTCTGATCCACGTGCGGTCCCCCACATACTCTCCATGCTCTCACCTCTGTGCATGCTTTTCCTCTGCTTCTGCGCCACTCTCTCTCTCATTGTCTTTCTGTGCTTGCCTGTCTCTCCCTCCTCTGTCCTTCTGTCTTCACAGTCTGACCCCTCCTCAAGGTGATGTTCATTCCGCTCCCTGGCTGTCTTCCCTGAGGTCCAGTCAGCCCTCCTGAGTTGGGTCTGATCCTGGGCAGTGCCCACCCCCACCCCTCCTCCATGCACATCCTTCGCATGCCAGCACCGTGGCTCTTGTTGCACTCTATTGAAATTGCCTCTTTCCCACCAGCAGAGCAGGAGGGGTCTGTCTTGCTCCCCTGTTGAGGGAGAACTTTTTAGTGGTGTGAAGGCTCCCGTATCGTTTGTGTGTGCCGTGGTCATCTCGGGGGCCCTGGTAGATAACGGGTTATATGTCGGATCCCTGGCGTAGTGGTAAAGTGTTGGTCTGCGGATCCACAAGATCAGCAGTTCAAAACCACCAGCTACTCCTTGAGAGGAAGATGGGGCTTTCTGCTCCCTGAAAGAATGACAGTCTCAGAAAGCTGCGGAGGCTGAGTCATCATTGTCTCCATGGCAGTGAGCTGAGCTGCAGTTCAAAACCACCAGCTGTTCTGGGAGAGAAAGATGGGGTGTGTCCTCCGTGAAGATTTCCGGTCTTGGAAGCCCCCGCTGGGCAGTAGGCTGACCCCAGCTGGTGACAGTGACTTTGATGATGTTTTCAGGGAAGATCCCTGATGGAAAAACCACATTGCAGTTTGATTTTTTTTCCCCCAACATGTTTCAGGAAACTTTATGCAGAGCTTTGCCAGGGCATCGTAGACATAGCCATCTCCAGTGTCTTCCCGCCTCCAGAGATGGAGCAGCAGCAGCAGCAGCAGCAGCAGCAGCAGCAGCAGCAGGCGGCCCAGCAGGCTGCATTCATCAAGCTCTGATGGGCGGAGGTGCCCAGAGCTGCCTCAGAATACGCACGGGGTCCAGCTTCAGGGGAAGATGAAGTGACGCTCTCTGACACGCCAAAACACGTGGGAAAGAGGCAGCCCGGATGGATGGAGACCCTGGGAAGAACTCCCCAGGAATGTGGAGCTCTCCACACTGCTAGTAAGACTTGAAGCAACTTCTCTGAGGGAGGCAGAATGTCATGCAAGGGGGGAAGAAAAACAACCAGAGACTTGATTCTGTCGTGTTCGCCTCCTTTGGAAACCTTCCTTTTCTCCCAAGGCAGCGTTGTGAGCCACACCTGGCCTCCCTGGGGATTGCGGACCGTGGGGACATTTGGTTGGCGTCTTCCTACCTGCTGCAGCCTTAGTGCCTTAGCGCCGTTCCCAGTACCCTTTCTCTTCTCGGGCACAGAGTGGGTGCTAGAGCATTGGGGAGGTAGCTGATGCATTTCCCCCTCACCGCCTCCCTGACACTCGGCCCCACTAAATGCTGGCCACGCGTGCACCAACAGGCCTGGGGCTCATGCTGGGCACACCCTCGCAGTGAAGGGAGCTTTCCTTGCCACTGTCCTGATGGTGTTTGATCAATCACCTGCCAGGGGTGGTGCTGGCTGGGTCCCAAAACAGCACCTGCTGCTCTCAGTCTGATCTCTGCATGTTCTAGCAACAAAGCAAGTCTGTCCAAACCTGTGTACATGGAATAAGTATGAGAGAGAGAACACGTGTTACCTTGCTCTGCTTACCTGAGTGGGTGTTAGAAAAAGGATGGTTTGCAATTATGTTTGTTTTTATCCGAGTTCTGAATGCACTTTTGCAGAGTTGCTTTATCTTCACTTTCTTTGTCTATTTTTAAACTGAAACCTCCCTGGGGATCCGGAGGGATGGTAGGATTGCTCGTTTCCTCATCCCCGCGGGCACGGCCCTAGACCCAGATGGCTGTCCTCTCTCCAGTGTGCCCTGCTCCCAGGCACCTTGCCCAGGGACAGGTTTGGTTCTGTGTCTGCATGTTCCCCCAGGCATCACGGGACAGGTTCCCAACAAGGGTAGTTATGTGCGTGCCACCTCAATGGGAGAACGTCTACAAACTGGAAAGGAGTGGTCCTGGAGCACTACACGGCATCTTGTCTGGTGACTCATGTACGTCAGATGCCGATGCTCTGACTAGATCGACTAGCATTTTGTCAGAAGACGACGTCACCAGCAGTGGGAAGAACAGGGCCCGTTTTTTTGTGGCCATGTTCGGTGTGAGCTAAGAAAACAGCCCCCTTGGAGTAATACACTGGAAGTCACAGCAGACCCCCTGGGAACTCTCACCAGAACTTGGTGGGTGCTACCTTCACCCACAGGTGTGCTCCGTTGTGTACGTCTACCTAGCAGAAAGCCAGGTGAGACTTTTTCAAAGGTAGAGGAGCAAGCAGCAGCCTCTTCAAATAGGAGTCAGTGTGGGAGCATCCGTTGAAATGGGAATCCTCATCAGGGGGGTCCTGTAGGCGCAGCCGTGGGGGGTGATGAGATGTGAAGGCTATACAAAGGGTCCAACTGAGTTGGAATTTAGAATGACAAGACAAAAGCCCCAGTGGGTGCCCAGGCTCAGAGCACTGGGATGTAGACGTAAATAAAGCAATCTGGAAGGCAGCTGCGCTCACCACTCCACCCCACCCCCACCCAGTTCCCAAACAGCACTGGGGAAAGCTTCTGGCAGCCCCAAGCCCAGGTGATGGGCTGGCGTTGGGGGGAGTCCTGAGCGGACTGAGATCCAATGGTGGAAAGCTGCGTGCCGAATCAGAATGATATGTGCCCCGTGGTGTCGGGCTGCTGCTGGAGACAGGCTCAGGGAGGGCGAGCCCGGGCTAACACAGATGTGTATTTCTCTTGTGGATCCTGATGACATTTGTGCATTTTCCAGCTCACCGAGTGTCAGACAGCTAAGCTCGATGTTAGCAAGTCTGGATCTTCTAAGAAAGAGGGTTTGTTGTTGTTCTTAAATGTCATCTGTGTGAGGACCCTAAGGTATTGCTTCATTCTCCACCTGGTGCCACACAAGGATGCTTTTATAGAGATCGGATCAGACAGGGTGGTTGGCTCAGAGGTGGCCCAGACCCTTCCATGATGTCCTCGGCAGCACAGATGCCGTGCCGCCGCTCTCCCTCCCAGTCTTCCCACGGGCGGTCTGTTAGGAGTGCTAGTGCCGGCAGGTGCTGGGGGAGAAAGTGGTATTTGGAGTTGTGGAGCCCAATTTCAGCTTTGTCATGTCCTTGCAGAATGTCAGGTGAGCCAGTTAACCCCTCTGTGCCTTAGTTTCTTATCTCATGGAGGAGAATGTTACTGCCCCAGTGACTACCTCACGGGCTTTTAGTGAGGACAAAGGAAGACGAGAGAGACTCGGGAGTCTTGGGTCCCAAGGCTCTCAGCATGGACTGCATGCTAGAATCATGTGTGAAGCCTTAAAAAAAAAAAAAAGCTGGTGCCCACATCTCCCGCTTATGCTGACCAGTGAAATCAGCGTGTTTTGGGAATGCCTTGAACCGCTGCCTTCAAAGGGAGAGCGAGGACACACGATGACCTTGGGAAGAAGGGATGAATAAGGCTCTTCGGCTTTTGTTTGTTTATTTTTATTGTCATTCTGTTCTGGAAAGACAGGAGTGTCTTTAAGGATGACCGGTTGTTGACGTACAAAGGGGCCTCAAAAAGTTGGAAAGGAGAAAGTGGAATTAAAATGAAAAGATAATGGAGTTTTCCCAGGGCTTTTTCGAACCACCCTCATCTGTATTCATGGTACAAGCAAGTGTTGTCGAGCCAGGCTCTCCGGTAGAAAGTGCATCTGCTGTATGTCACAGCATCTGGAAGCTCATAAGACATGCTTTCGTTGACTTCCACAGTGTATGAAGCGTAGACAAAAATGTAAACAGGCATAAATTTATAAGTAAGCTCAATGTATATTAAGGTTATTAGTTAATGAGAGGAATCCCCTTCCCTTGCACTTAAACTTCATCTAAACCCACAACATTTAAGTGCCTCAGTGGTTGGATGAGATATTGGAACAGGTGTCGGCATACCAGTGACCTTTCGCTAGCTCTTCCAGATGATTCACACAATACATGCAGCCCCTGCTGCTGCTGCTGGGACTAAAGTAGGACAAACAGAACCGACTCTTGTCAGTGAAGCGGCAAACATGTTTCCATTAACAGTTGAGGGAATGGGAGCTGGGCAGAGCGAGCTCTGTTGTGGGCATAGCAGGGCTCCTCTGGCTGGACAAGGCTCCAGCCGGGGCTCACCCAGCCTCTGAGGGCTACAGAGAAGAAGTGACTCTTACACAGCCTCTGTGTAAGAGAACAGGGCTTCTGAGATAAGGTCATTTTGTGGATAGTTAAAAAACCTGGAGCATTAAAGCATTGCTATCTCAAATGTTTTTGCCCTCTTTGGTTCTGTGATATTGTGGCTATTTACTACCAAGAGATATCGCTGGTTATTTGAAATCATGGTATTGTTACCTAGGAGTTGGCCAACGTTTTCTGTACAGAACTAGAGAGTACATACGGTGGGCCCTCTGTTGCACGTGGGCTTCTTTGGTTTTGCGTTTACAATGTTGAAAAAGTGTAAGCTCATGGATAGTTCATAAGCCATGAGGATTGGCCAGTTTTTTCTGGCCTCAGCCTGTTGCCCAGTGCACGAGCACAGACTGCCCCTCACAAGGTAATGAGCTGTTTCGCGATCGGCTGAATCACTGAAACACTTTCCTCTGCCAAAGCCCACCGTTTCTCATGTGTCTCACATATTGTCTGACTCGTGATTCCGCCGTGAAGTCAGATGCACGGATGTGGAGGAGAGCTGTGTGTGCGTCACCCTCGCCTGGGAAGACTTCTAAAATAAGCCACACAAGCTACCAAACTGACTCACGAAGAAATACAAAGGCTGGATAGACCTCCAATGAGTAAAGAATTAGTAATCCAAAAACTTTCCACCAAGAAGAGCTCAAGACCAGATTTATTCTACCAAACCTTTAAAAAATAATTAACACCAATTATTCACTAATTCTTCCAAAACTGGAAGCACAGGCAATACCTACCAACCCATCTTATGAGGCCACCATTATTACTCCTTGGAGAATACCAAGACTTACTGTGGACACGTTATCAGGAGGAACCAAGCCGTGGAGAAGGACATCGTGCGAGGTAACGTAGTGGGTCTGAAAGAGAAGGGGAAGAACCTTACTGGGATCAACGGGCACACTGACTGCAATCATGGGCTCAGACAGCGATGGCTGTGAGAACGGTGCAGGACTGGACAACATTCATTTTGTAGGGTCACTCTGAGTTGGAATTGACTCTAAAGTATCCAACAACAATATTCCAAAATCATAAAAAGAAGTCACACTCAAAAAAAGACAAAGTATTTAATATAATACTAGCAAACCAAATCCAAAACGATTAATGCCTATTGAAAACTGGTCTTTTAAGTAGGATGGATCCCAGAAATTCAAAGGTGGTTCATTTTCTGAATTCAGTGTAATATGCCACTGTAATGGAATAAAAGACAAAAACTATATGAACATATCTATAGACACAAAAACATCTGGCAAAATAGGAGATTACATTGCGCAATAACATTCAACAAACTTGGGACAGATGGATGTGTTAGGCCGAGTTAACTAGAGAAACAAGTCCAGAGTCACATGTATATAAGAGAGAACTTTATATCAAGAAGAAGTAATTATGCATCGATAAAACAGCCCAGTCCAGATGAAGTCCTTAAGTTCAATATTAGCCCTTAAGTCCAAAATTAGCTCATGAATTCCTCTTCATACTCACAGCACATGCAATGATGCTGAATGCAGGCAGATCACGGGCCTGTGGGTCCAAGGGCAGTGGACACATCTCTAGGGCTCTGGCTGTCATCCGCATGACTCCATGTGGCTTGTCAACAAGAATGTGAAGCAGAAAGAATGGTCCTCCTCTCAGGAGAAAAAGAGGAAGTTCCCAGAATCCTCCTGGTGGATGTTATCTTTTGACCTGATTGGGTAGACTCCACCCCTACTATCAAGTTGACATGAAATTATGTAACTACCACAATAGAAAGGAACTACTCCAACCTGACAACAAGCATTTACTGAAAAACCCACAGCTAACAAGTTGAATGGCAACAGATGAAAAACTTTCTCCCTAAAATCAGGCCCAAGACAAAGGTGCCTATTCCCATCACTTCTATTCAGGAATAGACTTCTATTCAGGAATAGGGCAATTAGGCGAAAATAAACAGTCAAGAAACAAAACACACTGCTGTCAAGGTAATTCTGACTCAAAGTGGCTCTGGGTTTTCCAAGGCTGTCAATCTTTACTAAAGCAGATAGTCTCTGCTTTCTCCCACAGAGTGGCTGGTGGGTTCAAACTGCTGGCATTGTGGTTAGCAGCCAAATGTGTAACCCACTAAGTCTCCTTAAAAATAAAGACGAGGAATAAAAGACATCTATATTGGAAAGTATTTATTTAGTATGATCCTGTACATAGAAAATTTATCTAGTATGATCTTGTACATAGAAAATCCTAAGGAATCTATAAAAACTATCAGAGCTAATAAGTGACTTCAGCAAAACTGTTAGACAACGAGTTCTGTTGCTATATGCAAGCAAAGAACTAAAGAAATAAAATATTTCCAAAAACATATTTTTGGAAGATTTAAAATCTTAAAATGATGAAAAGTCTTAACATGGACTTTAAATTCAATGCCATCTCTATGAAAACCCTAACTGACAGTTTGACAGAAATTGACAAGTTGATGCTAAAATTAATATGAAAATTCAATTGACCGAAAATAGCCAAAGCAATCTTGA